ATTTTATAATATTTGTTATATTTAAATTTTAATTTTAATTAATTTAAATTAAATAGATTCAAAGGCAAGATATTGTACTGTAGGTGGTGTTAAAAACTGTACAAGAACAGTATCGACACTTGAAAAAAATTGTGATGAAATATGTGGAAGACTAATAGTTATATATTGGTCTTTAAGATCAGTTAGCTTACAGTACTGAGATTCATCATCATGTCTTTTATTAATTGTTTGTTCAACATCACAAAGTATACTCGCACTATTTAAAGCTTTTTTTATAATAGTATTAAATGATTCAACACTTTGAGTACTTTGTACTCTGGCATTAAACTGAAATGGTGTTAAAGATCTAGCCCAACTCATTCAATTGTTATACAACACTTTAGTCATATAAATTTGACATTCTGGAAATAACTTCAACATCAATTCCCAATGCTAATTAAATAACTCTATACTCAATGCATTTCTACATACGTAAAATGTCTTATTAAATGAATAAAACTTTGAACCTAACTTCATTTTAAGATGCTTAATAATATTTTGCCAGATATGAAAAAGACAATAAAAATGTTTTGTTGTTGGAAAAACTTGAAAAGCAGTATTTATTAAACCTGGCTCAGAATCTGTCCAACATGATTTCGGTGCAAGATCATCATTCACCTTCAATAAACATTGTAAAATCCACTTATATGTTGATGCCATTTCATCTTCCACTAAGGCATTTGCTACATTTCAAAACCTTCCATAATTATCTCTTATCATAAATATACCCAAATACATATTATACTTATTAGTTTTGCATGTATTATCATTTAAAACTACATCATAAAATTGCTAATACAACTCTTGTTGAGATGGAGACATTCAAAAAACATCTGATAGATGGTGCTCATTACCAGTATGTTATATGAATACTTTCCAATTTGAATCTTGACTTTTTTTTTAAAAAAGCATATTGAGAAATGAACCAGAATCGGAATTCAATTCATTACTACTACCATAGCTTTTATAAATTGCATTGTAAACGTCTTGTTTGTGAAAACACGTTGTGGATATTTTTTCTTAAATATCTCTAATTGTGTAATCGGAGCTACTTTACAACTAATAAGAAACTTTAATTCTTGAACTATTTCATCATTAAGCCGATGATATCTAGGGATAATATTAGCTATCTGATTGGGGTTTAATTTATGATTATAGCAATCTTTTAACATTGTACATGTTACTTGTTTTGTTGTCTTTGGAAAGGTAAAATTACAATGCCATTCACAATTGGTCTTCATATTACCATGCAGACGATGAGAATTCTGATTTATATTTTTATGAGGTTCATATTTCCCACTTGCTAAGCAACAAAAGGATTTGCGATAAGTAATAGAGAGATTATCTGGATCTTTATCATTGCGAAAAATTTGATAACCAAAACCTCGTTCATAACAGTATTGGTATATAAATATATCAACAGATTTCTAGTCATCAAAGATAGCTCCAACATAAAGGTTATACTGATAAGTAGATATATATATATCAGAATCACTAAAACAATCTAAAAAAAAACTAAAAGTTTAGTATTAGGTAAAACTATTATCAACTTGATAAAATCAGAGTTGTTTTAAAAATACTAATTACAAGACAAGTAACAAAAATCAAGTTTGAATTTTGTTACTTATCTTGTGATTAATACTTTGAAACTATTCTGACTTATTATAGAAAAAAATATAACAAATATTATCAGATAGATTGTCTTGCTCCTCTTCTGATATTAAACCATAATCATTATTGCTAATTACAGAATCATTAATAGTATTGTTCATAGCATCATTCATAGCATTGTTTAGTAATTTAAGCCGCATGATTTTAGTTAGCTAGCTAAGCCAGCCGACCAAAAACATCGGCTAAGCGGCTAATAGTGGCTGGCTAGAGAAGAATTTAATCAGGCAAGTGACGAGTAATTTTTGTTTAAACGTATCTATAAAATATAAACTGCGGCAAATCTTTTTTTTTAACTTAGAATGAAGATTACTCGACATTTACCTATAAATTTTTTTAATTTTAATTCTATAGATTCGTAGATTTAAAATAAAAAATTTTGATCGAATTTGGATGAATGTATATCGAAAAAATTTGATAAAGATTTTAGTAAGTTTATTATTTATACCTTTTTTTTTTAAAAAAAAATTTAATCGAAGATTCCTTGACACCAATATATCCAAATTCGATCAAAATTTTTTTAATTTAATTCTATGAATCTATAGAGTTAAAATAAAAAAATATTGATTGAATTTGATTAAGTAAGTGTCGAGTAATCTTCATTCTAAGTTAAAAAAGAAACTTTGCCGAAGTTTATATTTTATAGATACTTAAAGTTTAAACAAAAATTACTTGTCACTTGCCTGATTAAATTCTATCAAAGTTTTCTATTTTAATTTTATTGATTCATAGAATTAAAATAAAAAAATTTTGATAATTTGATTAGGTAAGTGTCGAGTAATCTTCACTCAACACTTACCTGATCAAATTCGATCCAATTTTTTTTTATTTTAATTCTATAGATTCTTAGAAAAAAAATTGATCGAATTTGGATATATGGGTGTCGAGGAACCTTCAATTAAAGTTTAAAATGAAAAAAATTCACCCGATTTAGCTTTTTTCTATGTTCGAAGGTTTTTTTTTTAACTTTACTGGATATTTCTCGACAACCATAAACCCAAATTCGATAAACCTTTTTTTATTTTAATTCTGCAAGTGTATAGAGTTAAAATAAAAAAAAAACTTTTATTGAATTTACACGTAGTTAATGAGAAACCTTCGCTAGAAGTTAAAAAAAAATCTTTAGTTTGTCCCGTGATTATCCGATGATCATCGATGATCGGAAAATTTCGTAAGGTGCCAGGCTTTAAACGACGTCCACTTTTTTGGCCCAAACTTTTTTGAAATTCTGGCCAAATAAAAATTAAATTTTAATTTGACCAGAATTTAGAAAAGTTTGGGCCAAAAAAATGCTCAAATTTGATTCGGGTCCTTACGACCCCTTAATTGTTGCCTTATTGGTTTTCTATTTGATTTGTGTAATCACGTGACTAAAATCGGTAATATCTATCATTACTTCATTAAACGCTACGAGCCGATGATTTCAAGTACAGAAATTATCCTTAATCACCGCTAAAAGCAGGATACTGAATTTAGGACAATTGCGAGCTGGTCAGAAAGTTACGGAAAATTTTTTATTTACAATTTCATTAATCACACGAAGAATTTAGTAATAAAAAAGCTACTCGATATTATAATTAAACTCGTATGATCTTATGGACTTCGTTTTTCTCCCGATATCGTGTGGTCGCGGCAGTGTTTGTTCGCTTTTTATCATGGGTTTGATGTTTTCAATTTCAAAAAATTTCAGAATCAGCTTGTATATTATAGTAAAAATAAAAAATTTTATATCTTTCTGGCTGATGTCTACCATCCTAGTGTACTATTCTAAATGATACACCCGTCCGAAATTACAAATTATAATTTTGAGTTGAATTATGCTGAGTAAACTGAATTGTCTTTATCAGTTATCAAAACGCTCTGCTTTAACAATTGATCGGTTAAACGGCCGAATGTCAGTCAAGCGATCGGTCATAAGCAGTGTTTAAGTTCAATATGCGAAAAAAGCTTCAATTGTTAAAAAATAAAAAATACCGGTAAATAGTACGAGTAATAAAACGGCGGCGTTTTATAGGGCAGGAGCCTACGTATTAGGTTCTAAATTTTTTTTTAAAAAAACGTAATGTTAGTATTGTAGCTTATCCAATATTAATCGTAGAAGGATTTCGAGATAACTTAGTAATAAATTCTTGAATATCTTGAGAAAAATTGATTATATTTCCTCGATATCCAAGTTGTCCACCCCGA